CTATATATATATATATATATATATATATATATATATATATATATATATATATATATATATATATATATATTTTAGTTATATTTAATCTATTTTTAAAAATTTATAAATGGTAAATATATTTTTAAAAATCATATAAATTGAAAAATGGAAATTCAAAACGAAAGAACAACCAGTCCATTAAAATCCTCACTTTATCCACTTCACTTCATCCCAAAGTCGAGAGAACCGGACGGCGACCGACCGCCATGAGCGTAGCTCCAAAGCTTCTCCATCCAGCCGCCGGCGTTCTCTACAAACGTCCGTTCACGCGCCGCCGCTTCGTCTATCAATGCCTTAATCCATCCACCGGAAGCCGCGGTAGCAGAGGAAGAGGATTCCAACTTCCTAGAGTGGCTTCAGTTCCTTATCAACCGATCAACGTTGATTATTTGGAGGAAGAATTCAACGGGATAGGGCATGGAGTGAGATTCGAAGGAATCGGCGATGAATGCGCGGCGAAATTGCGATTGGAAAATGGAGGTTCTGCGATTGTAATGTTCCCGAGCGGATTGATTACCTCATACAAATCGCCGATGTGGCATGGAGGATCGCTGGAATTACTTCACTCTTCGGTTTGTGAGGACGAGAACGGCGATGTTATTGTTCGAGGAGGCGTATCCCTAGCCCTAGACTGCGGGAGTATTCGATTAGATGATGTTTGTTGGACTCTTCATGATGTTAAAGGAAATCCTCGCGAGTCGATTCAGGTTTGATAAAGTATACTCGTTTTGGCATTCACAACATTTCTCAATTGGTTTAAATTTCTACTTACCTCTGTTTTGTTATCCATCTTGTATTTAGTAGTTCAAAGTTTGTAAAATGGTTGAAGTCAAATAAGCTCTTAATTACAATTATGTAACAACCTAATTACTTGCTGATATTGTCTGCTTTGACTAGTTACGTATCGCCGTCATTCTCACGTTCTTACCACTCTTCTACTATGGAGAGATTTCCACACCCTTATAAAAAAATGTTTCGTTCCTCTCTCAACCGATGTGAGATCTCACAATCTACCCTCATTGGGGCCCGGACCTGCACACCGTCCGATGTCTGGCTCTGATACCATTTGTAATAGCTCAAATCTCATCACTAATAGATATTATCTGTTTTGACCTGTTACGTATTGTTGTTGGTCTCACGGTTTTATAACATGTCTACTACTGAGAGATTTCTATACCCTATAAAGAATGCTTTGCTCCCCTCTCAATTGATGTGAGATCTCATAATCCACCCTCATAGGGCCCAGCATCTTTGTTGATACACCGTTCGGTGTCTGGCTCTGATACCATTTGTAACAACTCAATTATAATGTTAGCAGATATTGTCCACTTTAACCCGTTATGTATCGTCGTCAACCTCATAGTTTTAAAATGCGTCTGTTGGGAAGAGGTTTCCACACTCAGAATGTTTCGTTCCCCTCTTCAACCAATGTGGGATAAATACCGGGCGGATTGTGAGATCCCACATCGGTTGGAGGGGGAAACGAAACATTTCTTATAAGAGTGTGGAAACCTCTCCCTATCAGACGCGTTTTAAAACTGTGAGGCTGACGGTGATACATAACGGGTCAAAGCGGACAATATCTGTTAACAGGAGGCTAAACTTGTTTTGTTCATCGAGTAGTGTAGTTTTGAGAAATTTCTAATTCACAACAATTGCTCGAGTAAAATACACTTTTGATCCTTCGAATTCAAACCAAGTTTGTATTTGATTCGAGCAGGTTGAGCTGATAAGCAGAGCTGCAGAGGGGAAGGTAGAGCTGAAATACATAGTGACACTAGGAGAAGACATGTTAACATCAGAGCTAGTAGTGTCCAACAACGAAGAATCCGCCATCCAATTGAAGGGCAGTGTATTGAGCCATTTGACAGTGAGCACACCTGAGGCAACCTATGCCATTGGCTTGGAAGGGTCAGACTTCTACAGCAGAGCACCATTTTCATCGAGCTATTCCATTGTCCCTCCAGATTATGGGCAGGGAAGCGGCTCTGGTTTGCGTCGAACATGGAACGGAATTCTTCCGGGTTGGGGTAAAAGCAAAGAGAAAGAAAGCGAAGAGGAGGTTGAGGGAGAAGAGGGCGAGGAGACCGATAATTACAAGCAATTAACGGAGGAAATGAGTCGGATCTATACCAGTGCTCCCAGGAACTTCACGATCATAGACAGGGTAAGAATCATTCTTTTATGGATTAAATCTCGATACTACTTTAGTCTCGGTGTTATCCATTTTCGTCCTTATTTTTTACTTTTCAAAATTATATTTTGATCTCTATACTTTTAAAAATTACTATTTTAGTGATCTTATTTACAAAATTATAAAACGAATATTATATACCGAATAATAAAAACTTAAAGTTTATAGACTAAGGTCAAATCAATAAAAATATTTTTAAACTTTATACATATATATATTTTTTAAGATTTTAATAATCCATTTAAACTTTTTAAAAAATATATACTTTTATCACTAATATTTTATTTTTAAAATATCTTAAACTTTGAATATATTTAAAAAATTTCACACCTTTTTTATTTTTTTTTTTAAATTAAAAAGTATCCACAGAAATAGTATTAACATTATTTACTTATAAAAAAAGTTAAAAAAAAATTTTACCATCAATATTGGGATAAAAAGTGTCTCTTGACACTTCATTATCTCGACTTTTTAATATTATTTTGAAAAGTTTGAGTATTTTTTAACTTAAATGAAGTTTAATTGTTTAAGTTCGATAATTTTTTTCTTTTTTTAAGATTAATGGTATCTTTTTAAACGCTTAAAAGTATTATTAAAACTTTTGAAAGTTTAGGATATTTTTTTAGACAAAAAGGCAAAAAAGTAAAGGTATATTTTTATTAATTTAGCTATCTAAACCTTATATCTTAATTCAACGGATATTTTGATCTCCAAATTTAGAAAAACTTTGTGCATTTTGATTTTAACAAACAAATATAGTTTCAAATTCAGTATTAATGTAGTTTCTCAAGCACCTATGACTGGTTTGAACCTAATTTTGTTGTTTTGGGATGAAGCAGGGAAGGAGAAACTCAGTGGTTGTGGGGAGAGATGGGTTTGATGAACTTTACATGTTCAGTCCTGGATCAAATCATGTGTACTATGGGGAATATTCTTTCATATGTGTTGGTCACTCAGCCATGCTCAAATCAATACTCTTAGAGCCTCATCAAGTATGGAGAGGATCTCAGTCTTTGTTCAATCCAAATCTCTAATTCTTCCCTTCCCATCCCTGTAAACTTGAAAAGGTTTCATTCAAAATGTTCAGGAGTTGATATGTAAACATTGTCAACAACTTCCCGAGTTAAATGAACGGTAACAATCTTATCGTTTCTTCTATTATCAGTTGATACGTCAGTTTCTCCTTCATTTTAGTGAAAAGAACTTAACTTGGGGTACTTTTAGAAATATGGTTCTCAAAGTGTTAAGGGCTAGATGAAATATATCCAGACCCAAAGTTCGTATTCGGGTCAAGAGCTCCGTTGACCACAAAATGAAATGCTACATTCTATATGCTTTTGTTTCTAGATTCATTCTATGTTGCTCTTTTTCCTGCTTAGTACAGATCAATAAACTCAGGAGAAGAACATCCCGAGTTAAATGTATGGTAACAACAATCTTGATTTTCATTATAGTTCAAATGGTTGTATATGTTGCTGCGTACAATTTCTTCTACAATGAGTTGACACGTCAATTTCTCCTTAGCTTAGGCTACTTTTAGAAATATGGTTCTCGAAGTGTAAGAGCTAAATGAAATATATCCAGACCCAAAATTCATATTCGGGTCAAGAACTTCATTGACCACGAAATGAAATGCTACATTCTATATGCCTTCGTTTCTAGACTCATTCTATATTGCTTTTCTCCTACTTAGACCAGATCAATAAGCTCAGGAGAAGAACTTACAAGCTACAACAACCAGTTTAAGCCTAATTCAGATCAGACAAACAGAAGAACATTATGTTGGTACAAGATAGGTACCTTGATCCTGCTCGTTGATCCAGAGCAATGAAGTAAATATTGTGAAGAGCAAAAATGAGAAGCCACAGACCAGTTTCAAAGCAGTCTTCTTATATGCCATCTCAATGCCTGAGTATTGAGTTTTGATCTTGCTATGTTGAGCCACCACCACTGGCATAGCTTGGACAGGAACACCACCAGTTGAAGAGACTGATTCAGAACCACCTGGTGATTTTTCATCATTGTCATTGTCGTTGTTGTTGTTGTTGTCGTTGTCTGAGCTGCTGTCGTCTTTGCTAAGTTTCTGATAATCTGGGGACCCATTTTGATTATGACATGATCTTGGACTCCACTCCAGATTGCCTAATGACAAACTCCTTTGCCTCAATTTGCAGCTTTTGCTAGCATAGTCTGAGTTTGCGTCGTTTAGGTCTTGAAGAGAGTGGACGAGCTTCCGAGGAGTTTTGAAGATCATATCTTCAACGTTTATGCAGCTACGAGACCTCTGAGGTATAAGATAGGAAAGATAGATATCAGCTAATGAACGGTCACAGAACTAAACTAGAATTTGTCCTAAGATTATTGACATGAATCAGGCAGTTTGCTGTGAGAACTTACAACAGGGCTGGTTGTAGTGCTTCTTGATAGTCTGTGTCTAGGAGGACTCATTTGAAAGAACCCTGCAAATTCATCTGCATATTCTTCACCATGATGATCAAATTTATGACTTTCAGAGTGCAGAGACATGGTGTCGGAGACGTCGGTTCCACGAGCGATGTCCGAGAACAAGGACAAGCCATCCTTGAGGGATATATCAACCCCACCATTCTCATATCTCCAGAGTTTACGGTTCATACTCCTACGGTCAAATCCAGAATTCAGAGAAGCTTGTTTAGATGAAAAGGGCGATCCATCAAGCGACCCGTAATCGAAGAATGAATCATGAGTTTGGGATTCTGGAGACTCGGACGAGGGCGTTCGGCTTCCACCATTCCTCCATGGACTTCTCCTGCGGTCAATGAAGTTCGATCCAGTAACCGAGCTTGGTGATTTGCCCATTTTAGACCCTTCATCCGCTGCTATTCTCCTTGCTGTTTGCAGGGTTTCAAAAGCTGCACCTTTGACATAAGCCATTTGATCAGATTGACAATTCTCCATCTCCTCAATTATAGTCTGTAGCTCAGAAAATATACTCCAAGGATCTAAACACTTCATCAAGAAATTAATCATTTGAATGGAGGACAATCTTTTCTGAGAATTCTTCTCCACCATCCCAGATTTCAATATTTGCAGCCCGGCCTGTAGCAACAATCTAGCATACGGTTCGACAATCCGAGGATTCCGCTTAGCTAGTGTCATAACAAGCCCCATGTGTGAATTGGTTTGAGTAAACTTCTCCTCCAAAGCTCCAGCCACATTCTGGCACACCTTATTAACCATCTCGTCCGAAGCGAACCGCCAATTATCCGAATCCACCAGAGCCTTCAAGCAGAGGGCAGCCCCAGCAGTGAGGCTCTCTTGAGAACCCAACAAAGATTCAGAAAGTGGATTACAAAGAGAATGAATAACATAAGTCTTCTTATCATCAGGAGTGGTTGGATCAATCCCATATCTAGCAATGGCTGGTACAACTTTAGAACAGGCCTGTTGAAGAGGGAAAGAGCCAGCACTTGAAGCCAAAGTTTTGATAATAGAAGTCATAATCCGATCGATCTGCGGCACGATATTAACGCCATGAACACGAGCAAGAACTTCATAGAGGGAAATAGTACACTCCCCAGTTAATGCACCAGTTTCTTTATTCTCAGAAACTTGAGCAAGAAAAACAGGAATAGCCTTGGAATCCAATTCCTTCACATAAGTCTTCAATGCTTTCATTGCAGTTCTGCGACTATCAGCATCTTTATCTAGATTAGCAAGCTCCCTCCTTAGCATTGGACTAAAACTTTTGCCCACAAAAGACCTGACAGAAATAGAAATCAACACGAGAAACAGATCCAACGTCGAGATTCAGTCAGGACTTTTATCAAACAGCTGATGGGCACTCTCAAAAAAACACAAAATCAGTACAGAACAGTTGAAGAAACAGAAATCAAAGGCAAACTTGAACTGGGTTTTGGGTTTTCAGCAAAAGGGTATCTGGAAAATGCAGCAAATCAAAGGAACAATAGAGATAGAGAGAGAGATATAGACATATAATACCTGTGAGCTTCTGGGGTTGCTTTCATGGCGTAGAGATTGTATGTCTGAGCAGAGATGAAAGAAGATGGTGATGAATCTGTGGGGATCAAGGGGAGGAAGAAGAAGAAGAAGAGAGAAGGATTTAGGGCTTTTGATGGGTTTGAATTTTGAAGGGGTGTTTTTGATAAGGGGGGGGTCTTTCCTTTTCCGGGGATTTGGATTTGGGCAGCGCCTCGGCTGCCATGAATTCAAATTCTTTCTTGAAATTCCACCGCTATCCCTTCTTCTGTGGGTCCCGCCTCTCATAAACTTTATGTATGGACCATAATGCCCCTTCCAAGTAAGAACAAATTCCTTTTAAATTTTGCTCCTTGAATTAATTTATCTGAGTATAAATTTTGATAATTTATTGTTTTTTTATCTTTTTAAAAAAACTATGATTAATTAATAACATTTTTTTTTTATTACAAGAGGAAGGAAATTTAAATTCTAGTTTTTTTTTTTAAAGCATTCATTTTAAATTCCCGTTATTTATGCATAATTTTTTAACTTGGATTTGATTTTTTTAAAAAGAAATAGAAGAAATGGTTACCATCTTGAAATATATTGAATTTTAATTTCATTCTAATTGATAATTCTATTAATTATAGAGAGTTTAATCTTGTTAATTTTAAGAATGAGTAATTGTACCGAACTAGAGAGCCGTGGTTAGTATATATTACTATGATCCAATTTGATAAAACTATAAAATTATGTTCAAATTAATAAATAGACTGTTTTTTAAAAAATTAATGTAAGTTTGTCCACTTTTATTCATGTTTTAGAGTGAACAAATTAAATGAGAATCTCAATTATTTATATATATATATATATATATATATATATAATTTCAGAGAGAGAGGGGTAGGTGAGTAATTTGTATCCAATAGGTTTTTCCCTCCAAAGTTGAAGTTTTAAGGTAAGTATCACTGTTGGCGCCATTCAAAGGATTTCAAATAATGGTCACATGCTCAACTAATTTAACATTTTCCAAATCTGGAGTATTTAATTATTGTACTATTATTTGGAAAAATAATTATTATAATAAATGCATATTGTTCACTTCAATTAACATTAAAGTCGATAACCAATTCTGTTATTTTTATCCATTTATAGAAATAAATTATTATTCTACAAATATAAAAAAAAACTTTGCTTTTCTTCTCCATTTTAATGATACAAATATAAAGGTTATAAAGGTATACATACGTAAAGCAATATTAAATTGTTAAATTAATCATTTATGATTATTTTAAACCCATGCTTTTTAAAAATTTTAAACCTAATAAAAGTAATTTAACCGTTTCAAAATCACTACTAAACATGCCTAAACCCAGGATTAAATTCACCACATTCATAATGACTCATCTATTGTCGCATTAAATTTTCTCTACAAACTATAATACTCCTAATAAGCCTTTTATTTATTGAGGAACACATAATAAACTAAAAATGAAAAGGCATAAAGAACTAAGTACCTAGATCAACCAAAGTTTGATTCTATATATCTATATCTATCTTTATATATATACATATGCATGTATTATATATATATACATATGTATGTATTATGTATGTATATATATATATATATATATATGTGTGTGTGTATGTATATTCTAATCCTATCACAATCACAAAAATGACAGGTCCATTATCACAATAGATTTTAGTTGCTCCATATAGAAAGATGTTGATGAAAAAAGTATAAAGGACTAAAGCTTGGTTTAAACGGTTCCAAATTGAAACACATCCCAAAATAGCAAAAAGGAAAAGGAACAAAAAGAAAGGGTTAAAAGCACGATGACTGATGAGTGAAGCTGAATGATTATATTCAAATAAAAGCTCTCTCATTGCCACTAAACTAACATTGTTACAACTTACACTTATTATAAGGCCCATTTTGGTTTCAGTGCAATGTAAAAAGATGAGAAAAGAAAGCTTACCGCTTGAATTATCCACCACAGGCTTCTGAAATTTGCGCTCATTATTGACATTGTGGTAAGGCTCTGCAGGTTGGACAGTACCATTTTCCTTTAAACCTGGTTTCTGGAGTTAGTCCCACGCACGAATAATGGAACCATTCACCTCCTTGACACTGTCAATGCCATAAAAGTAGAAGAAAAAGGCAAATATTATTGTTCAAATGAAGCAATTGTACCGAAAAAGTGTGCTTAATTAAGGCTCAATTTGAAACCATTTTGTTTTTAGTTTTCTGCTTCTAAAGATTAAGTTTATAAACACCACTATTGCCACATGTAGTTCTCTAGCTTTATCACCTAAGTTTTAAAGTATTAAAAAAAAAAGAAACAAGGAACATGAAAAACTTATCGAAAAAATTAGCGAGTACCCGAGAACAGTTTTTTAGAACAAAGAACGAAAAAAAAAATGGTTATCAAATTATTGTTTAATAAGGGTTTAGTTGATCTATAAACATCTGAAAGGTAACAATTGTCTGGGAGAGGAAATAATAGAACTCATGTACTAATCTCATCCCACGGGTAACTTTTAATACTTCATAAGGTCATCTGTGGTAAATACGTAATTCGGTACAATTTGGTTTTCTGAATGTAGTAGGCTGTTCAAAGTCCAAACAAGCCAGAGGCAACCCTTTCTAACCCACAAGCAATGGTTTCCGGAATCTCAAAGATCAAAATGGAAGTTCATATCAAAGCTGTGCTTCTTTCAATGTAGGCTCATGCATACGCACACTCACATTGAAAAAGACCAGCTATACTGCATGCGGAGCCATGAGGTCTCACATGACAAGCATTATCCACAAATTCATTTCTACAAACTAGAGTGCTTACTCTTACCGTACAGGAAAACTTTCTTCTTAGAGATGCAATCATGACAAAGAAACGTAATGTAATAGAGAAACAAACAACAAAACGAGGAGGATGTGAAGAATCAATAACATCGCAACAAGGGAGGACTTACATTTTCATTGTCGCAAGCAATCATATCTCCAAATGACACCTAAAAGAACAGATAATAAGATGGCACCAATAAATATGTTAGTAACCAGCAATTGAGTCAGGAATTAAGAAAACTTAAGACTGTTTGTACGTCTGGGAAAAGAAATATAAGGATGATATCCTTCTCTCTATATTAAATCTATATATTTTTCCTCCCTCACTAACTTCCCTCTTTATTCATAGCCACTCGAAGTTAACAATTAACTCTAACCAACTCTAGTTATCTCATCTACCCACTAACTAAGCCATCCACATCCCTAGGACTACCCACCAACAAAAGTAACACATTGAGTAGAGTGATATTGGTGTTCCATTGCACAAGCTCCATCAAACAAAAGCTGAAGGAGGAAGAAGATAATGATAAAGACATAGAACACTCTCCGCTTTCTGTTTTCCCTAGTTCTTCACCTTGCAAACTAATTTTTGTTCCTTTTGCTTTGCTTTTTTTGTTCCTATTTCTTAACTCTATGGTTTCTCACACCACTCAAGGTACACTGAAGCTCAAATCATCTCTCTCTCTAGAATTTCAGTGTTGAGCATAAGACTTAGCTTTCAGTATCCAATATGTAATGATATGAATTACCTATCTATCTCCTTCGTTTTCTCACTGGACTTTCCACTGAAACGTTTTCCCAAAGTTTAGCTATATTCCTTCATCCAGTAAGGTCCCAATGTAATTAATTACATGAAACAAGAACTTACTTCTTTCTTTTTACGCATCACAATCTGCTTTTTTCCATTAAACAGTCTCTCTTATGTATTTGTTGCATGAGACTGAGGGCTTTAATTTAGTCATTTTTTCTTCCTTTTCCCCCATTGTTTGTGGTAGATGGAGGGTTGAGGATGAAAGCTTCTCAATAGGTATTCCCCTATTCTTTACATAAATACTTTTCATCCCTCACTTCATTCCCTCTTCCTTTATTCGTTACCACTGCCCCGACATTCTTTTAGCCAACTGACTATCTCGTATACCCACTAACTAACCATCATATTATTCCAAATACCTAATAATTTCTTTTCGCGTGAAACAACACCAAATAAAATTTTGGAAAGCATAAACATATAAATGTAACAATGAAAGAGTCATTTGATAAAATAGGTTCAATTTTCAAGGTGAACCATGTATGAATTCAAAATCAGAACCTGATGACAGATGCAATATGTAGGTTCATTTGGATCAATGGGCTGATCAACATCAAGTGAAGGTGCAAAATCCTTTTTATGGCTTCCTGGAGGAGGCATGAGCTCAAAATCTCGATCACGCTCCCTATCCCAATCCCGATCCCTGTAATCTGGCCTCTTAGATTGAGGTGCAATGTATATTGGTTTGCGCTTTTCATTCTTCGAAACTAGTGGCAGTGGAGGGAGAGCTGCTGGTTCATCTGGTGAAATTTTTCCCTCTGAAAGATAGTAAAAGGTTCAGTAATCTCCAAACAGACGAACTGAATGGAAGGAAAAGGTAAGCAATTCACTAAAGCATCCAGGAGCCCATTACTAGCTTGTTTGATTTAAATATCACAAATGGCTTTGAGGTCTACTAATAATTTGCTGACATTAAATTCTTAAGATGATAAAGCAATTAAGCTTCATGTGTAACATCATTAGCTCAAGTTCGTAAAACGACTTGCATTTCACAGAGATGACGAAGCTTCTAAGCCTTGTACCTTGTTTCAGATCTTCTGCAAAGTTGTTTAGATCCTCATCAAGTCGTTTAATATGGCTATCAATCTGGAAAGGTAAAAGGACATGAAACCCTGTAAGATCAGCCAAGAAAATATATAATAAAATAGCAATGGCATGTAGCCACTTCATGAATAAAAGTACTGACGTTCATTTCAGTACAACACTTTGAATGTAAACGGTTAACTGAAAAATGAATAAAAACATTTGTAACATTTATATATACTTACAAAGAAACCCTTTGTAAGAAATTTATACCAATTCAATTTTTAACAGCATCTCAGGTCAATTATTGCATCCCTCCTAGACTGATTAGAATTTTAAAAAAAATAACAATGACTCGTCGTAAAATAGTTAACGATTACCACATTCATACCTTCTCTGAAGACAATCTTGCAATTCAAGGTTGCTCATAAACAAGATAGGCGAAAGAATGAATGAGAAATGTAGCAGAGGAATGAGAGAAATTCAAGGTTGCTCATAGACAATCTTGCGATTCAAGGTTACCATAATATTGGAGAAACGAACAGCAATCGAACCAGGTAGTCCGCAAGGCATGAAAGGGGGGGGGGACAAAGAGAGAAAGAGCGCCGTACCAGATCGCATGCTTGACGTGCCAACAAAACCTTTTCAGTACACAAACTCAACGCGTTATCCTGATTCGCCTCAATATCCTTCCGCTGTTTTTCAAACGCGGACTCCTCATCCTCAGTACTACTATTGTTATAGCCTTTCTTCGAACTCAGGCAGTATTTCGTCTGCTGCCGCGTCTGGTCAATCATCGCTACAACCAAAAGAAAATTCCATAAAACTTCAGAGCAACGAATCGCAGCAATCGATCTACACAGTGAGCAAAGCAGAAAACGAGGGTTTTACACTGGGAGCGATCGTCGAGTTCTCTGATCGTATTAAGAAGCCTCTGAAGATCAGCAGGAAATGTGCTGGCATCTACGAAGATCAAAAAGAAACAAAGTATCAGCAAATTGGAAGCGAAAAAAAAATGGGGGAAATGGAAACGTACATTCCAGATAATCGTCGACGTAGACTCCAGTTCGAGCAATCGCCATGATTGAAGTAGAGAGGAGCTCTCAGAAAGCGCTGGGTTCTAGGGCTTGATCGAGGAGTGTCTCCCTCCAAGTCGTTTTCGTTTTGCCCTTGGCGCCCACTCTTGTGTCCCTTCTTTGTTTTGGATTTTCTGAAAATTTGAAACAGCGTTTCGTTCTGATTTTGTGAAGGAGAGAAGGTAGAGAAACGACGTCGTACTCAAGTTTAGTTTTTTTACAAATTTCAACCGGTTAAATTAATCAAAATTACTCTTTAAATTTTCATTTTATTTAAAAAAATACTCTTAAAACTTTCCGAATATATTCTTCTATTTTAAAATAATTTTAAAATATTCTTAAACTTTAAAAAAAAAAATACCTATGAAAACGGTTAATATTTTATTTCAAAAATATTATTTTATGGTTTCAAAATTACTGTTGAATTAACATTTTATGAGATGTTTGTGTCCTGTTATGGATTTTATTGTAACTTCCATGTCATGATATATAATACATCTACGATATTTATGCGTACATTACGATATTTATGTATGCCATAATATTATATGGATTCATTTTTCTCCGTGACTCGGTAGCATGAGCACATCCTAACTGAAGGGCATGCCTACGAGGTACCTGATGGGTCCATGTATGCATATGTGGGCTGTTTTACTTGCTTTGATGTTGTTTATGGGTCCACAATTTTGATAGCGTGTAATCTCGGGTAGGAAGAATTGACAACTAGTCACGTCTCTCTATAGTACATTTCGAATCATTTTAACCTTAACAGGTGTATACATGATTTTGATGAGCGATCTGACACCTCTAGATTAACCTAACAAGAACAACAATGAAAACCTAACTGTAAAATGGTAAATTTAATATAAATAATAAATAATAAAATCCTAAAATTGTGTCAATTACGTCAGCAATGACGCATCGTTATCTTCATTACTCAGCCACTGCAACTCTCCACCATAAAAATGGCGGTCCTAAATCTTCACTTCCACCATCAGATCCCCTTTACAGCTCAGCCTCTTCATTTTCCAAATTCAACAAATGGCCACCGCCGCCGCACTGCCTCTTGACGGCCGCAACGCCGTCGTCACCGGCGCCTCTCGTGGAATCGGCCGCGCCATCGCCGTCCACCTCCACTCTCTCGGCGTAAATCTCGTCCTGAACTACGCTTCCAACTCTGCGCAAGCCAATCTTCTCGCGTCGGAGCTGAATCAGTCATCGACGCCGCGCCAGCGAGTTATAGCAGTTCAAGCCGACGTGTCTGATCCGGCTCAGGTCAAGCGGCTGTTCGATTCGGCTGTTGAGGAGCTTGGATCTGAGATCCACATCGTCGTGAACGCTGCCGGGATTCTCGATTCGAAGTATCCGAGTCTGGCCAGAACCGCCGTGGAGGATTGGGACGAGACGTTTCGGGTGAATTGTAGAGGCGCGTTTTTGGTGTGTAAAGAGGCGGCGAATCGGCTTAAGCGCGGTGGGGGAGGTAGGATTATTTTGATTACGACGTCGATCGTTGGATCTCTGCCGCCGGGGTACGGTGCCTACGCGGCGTCGAAGGCGGCGGTGGAGGCGATGGCGAAGACGGCGGCGAAGGAGCTGAAGGGGACGGAGATTACAGTTAACTGCGTGGCGCCAGGGCCGGTGGCGACGGAGTTGTTCTTCGCTGGAAAATCGGAGGAGATGGTGGCGAGATCGGTGGATGCCTGCCCGCTAGGTCGGCTCGGGCAGCCCGACGATGTGGCGAAGGTGGTGGCGTTCTTGGCTACCGATGGTGGCGGGTGGGTCAACGGGCAGGTGGTTCGGGTCAATGGCGGTTTAGTAATTTGACATTTAAAAAAAGAAAAAAAGAATAATTGGCATTAACTATATTTTGGATTTTTAGATATTTATTTTATTTTTATTTAATTTTATAATTATTTATTTATATTTAAAATTCAGGTACAAATTTTAATACATGGTTTAAAAGGAAGCAAATAAACGTTTTACGAACTGATATTAAGGTATAATCGTGGGCCCTTGTCACTCGTGACACGTTCACTAAAGGAAAGCTACCCAACAAATTTACTAATAATCCTCATAGACTACGATTATATATTATGAGTCCAGTTCTTTAGTTATTCAAGCTCCAATTTAATTTAATTTATACATTAAAATGTGAAATTACGAAAATACCCTTCCGTTCCTTTTTTTTTTCCTCCTTTTCCTTAATTTCATTTCCAATTTTTTCTTTCTAATTCTATTTAATTATCTTTCCTTAAATTCTTTTCCCATTTTTTTTAATCACTCAAATTCTTTTCCCGTTTTCATTAATTTCGCATTAAATTAAATTTATACGTAACCATTCAATTAATTTTTTCCCTTTCTTTTTCCAAATTTTGTTGTCTTTATTTTTCCTTTTATTTTAAAATTAATTTACATTATTATTTTCAATTTAACTTAATTTATTTTTATTTCATACCTTATAAAATTACGAAAATACCCTTCAATTACGAAAACTCAAACGCAATTTTAAAAGGTTCAAAAGGATATTTTTTTTTAATTATTTTTCTATTTATTTTATCTTTATTTTTCCTTTTCTTTTAAAATTAATTTACATTATTATTTTCAATTTAGAACTTAATTTACCTTATTTTATACCTTATAAAATTACAAAAATACCCTTTAGAAACTCTCAATTTTTATATTACTTTTTAAAGTTCATCAATATTTTTGAAATGTGATATTGACGGTAAAATTATTTTTAAAAATACCATACTTTTCAAAACTCAATAGTAATTTTAAAAGTTAAAATTGATATTTTTAAAACTTTTTGAAAGTTAAAGAATTTTTTTTAATTCTTTTTCTGCTTTGTTTTATCTATACTTTTCCTTTTCTTTTTAAAATTAATTTACATTATTATTTTCAATTTATTTTATTTTATTTTATTTTATACCTTCTAAAATTACGAAAATGCCCTTCAACAACGAAAATTACACATTTTTATGTTATTCTCGAAAGTTCATCAATATTTTTGAAATATGGAACTAACCGTAAAATTATTTTTAAAATATAATATTTTTGAAATGTAATTTTAAAAATTAAAGGGATATTTTTTAAATAAAGTATTAATAGTGAGATTATTCAAAAAGTATTAATAATCTCTACGGGTAACCATTCAATTATTTTTTTATTTAAAAAAAATTCAATTAAATTCGTTCAATTATTTTTTTATTTAAAAAAAATTCAATTAAATTCTTCTCTTAATATATAACTTGGGCATCCCTTTCACCCCATTTATATATATATATATATATTTTGTTAAGGATATTTAATAATAAATTATAGTTTACCATATATATTATATTTGATATTTTATTATAAAGCAAATATTTAATATTTGTCTTATTATCATTAGGTATCTTTCTATTTATTGTTATTTCCATTTGTTACTATTTCCATATCCCGGTAATTTATTTGATTATAAATAAGATAACTTTCATACCATTTAAGTGTCGTGGATTAATCAAAAATTTATATATATATATATATATATATATCAAGAACTCCCAAAACTAACAGCAATGGGAATAACAACAACCAAAATAATAATGAGCAAAAGCAAAACCCCAAAGCACATCCATTTCCTATTGATCCTTTGCAAATCCTTAGCACTCTTCAAATCCTTACTCCCATCTCTTACATATTGTGAAGCATTCATCACATGGTGTTCAATGTCATCCATTTTCTCCCCTTGTGCTTCCACCATCACTGCCATGTCCAAGAACACCTGGTGCAACTCTAGCAAGCTTCTCTCGATCTCCTTCGCCGCCCCGTGTCGGTCTTGTATCTCCACCACCGTCTCCGCTACCTTCCCCCACCCGTGCTCCTCTATTGCCCTCCCCAAAAACTCCTCCCCTCCATTCGATATTATCTTCTCTATCACCTCCTCCTCTGGGTGCTCCCCCGTCACCGTGAAGTATCGTCGCCCCACCGTCTCTTTGTACTCCATCATCATCCTTTGTCTTAGGGTTTGAAACTCCATCATTAGCTCCTTTAGCTTCTTTCTTAGGCCGTTGGTCACCGCGATACGAGTCCTGTTTGTTGAGAATGGTAATAAATGATTGAATTTACTATGACCCATTAGCCTAGAGGTTGAATTTAGTTTCTACTTGAGTACTATTTGTTGAAAATGTGAATATATGATTGAATTTACTATGACCCATCGACTCAAACAATTGAATTTAGCTTCTATTCGTTGAGAATGTGAATAAATGGTTGAATTACTTTGACCCATCATCTCAAATCGTTGAATTTAGCTTAACTCGAGTCTTATTTGTTGAGAATGTAAATAAATGATTGAATTTACTATGACCCACCAGCTCAAACCGTTGAATTTAGCTTAACTAAGTCCTATTTGTTGAGAATGTGAATAAATGATTGAATTTACTATGACCCACCAGCTCACGAGTCCTATTTGTTGAGAATATGAATGAATGATTGAATTTACTACGACCCACCAGCTCAAACCGTTGAATTTAGCTTCTACTCGAGTTCTATTTGTTGAGAATGTGAATAAATGATTGAATTTACTATGACCCACCAGCTCAAACCGTTGAATTTAGCTTAACTCGAGTCCTATTTGTTGAGAATGTGAATAAATGATTGAATTTACTATGACCCACCAGCTCAAACCGTTGAATTTAGCTTAACTCGAGTCCTATTTGTTGAGAATGTGAATAAATGATTGAATTTACTATGACCCACCAGCTCAAACCGTTGAATTTAGCTTAACTCGAGTCCTATTTGTTGAGAATGTGAATAAATGATTGAATTTACTATGACCCACCAGCTCAAACCGTTGAATTTAGCTTAACTCGAGTCCTATTTGTTGAGAATGTGAATAAATGATTGAATTTACTATGACCCACCAGCTCAAACAGTTGAATTTAGCTTCTACTCGAGTCCTATTTGTTGAGGATGTGAATAAATTATTGAATTTACTATGACCCACCAGCTCAAACCGTTGAATTTAGCTTCTACTCGAGTTCTATAGGTTTAGAATGTGAACAAGTGATTGACTTTACTACGACCCATCAGCTCAAACAATTTAGTGTTACGTTAAACCCATTTCCATAAATTTCTAAGAAACTTCGACTTATTTTGAATTTATTATGACCCATCAACTTAACTAGTCGGAGTTTAGTGGTAGATTAGTACCGGTAAATGGCAGTTCCTTCTTTGCTGGCCGAGAGCCGCTTCTTAGCATCATTAGCACGGTCCATTTCCTCAAGTTTAGAACGGATCGATCGAGCCTTCTTCAGGACGGTAACGATGTCGCCATTAATCATCTGACGAAGCGATTTGAGAGTTTCGGGTTTATGAGCAGATTTCGTCTCCTCATTGACCTGCTGAAGCTTTCCCAGAATCTCTCTAATAGAACCCATCTCCAATTTCACCTTCTCAGCCTCTTCAAGGAAGAGCCCCATATCGCCATTGTCGGTATCAGATGACACCGTTTCAAAACTGGCTTCGAGGTCGATATCTTTCATAGCAGCTTTCTTCAGATCCACATAGTTCGTGAACGATTGAGTCATCAAGTCATTCATTTTTTTCCCCTTTAAGAATTTTATGAAGAATAAGGAAAGTCAAGATTTTGTTGGGTTTGAGAGAATTGGAAGATTTTTCTTAGGTTTTGTGAGAATTGGAAATGTTGGAAGCTTAGATTAAAACTAGTTGCAGAGAAAAAGTAGTCGTTGCGTTTGCTTTTGTAACGGCTATATTTTTAATTGCCGTTTTTAAATAATATATTTCGAAATATTCGTTGGGTCGATGGTTGTTGTGGAGAGTAATGGTTTTTGGATTGGGCATTCCGAAATGGGCGATATTATTATATATATTTTTTCAAAAAAAATTAATTTTTAACCCTAAATTTTAATAAATTTTCACAAGTTTCCAAATTTCATTAAATTTTATATTCACTAATTTTAAAAAATAAAAATTGAAATTTTATTAAATGCATTTATAAAAGTTCACTCACAAATTATATTTTAAATTCCACGTGGCATTTATTTTATTTTATATATTTTTTAAATTCCACGTGGCATTTATTATTTATTATTTTTTATTATTAAAAAAATTATATATTAATAACTAAAATCTGATCTCACTCAAAATATAAAATATTTCATAAGTCATAGTACATTGCTAACTTTTGTTACAAACGTCAAATATTCTTAATTTTCATATTAATTTTAGAACTATGATTGAGTTGAGTTGTAATCTTATTTTTGCATTGGTCGAGTTGTTCACGTTAACTTGACTAAAAAAAGTCAATTTGTGAACCGATAATTCATACATTTCAATTTTATTTAATAATTAATAATATAATGATTATTTACGCCATCGATTTTTATGTATTTACAAAAAAAAAAATGTAAATAAATAATAACAATAATAATTACTAAGTTGTGGTGCTGCTAGGATTTTTTCCTCTTCCGGACCCGAGAGGGACCGGGCCCCACAAACTTGACAGTAATTTTACTAGGAGAAGGTTTTTTGTCGAGATAAATTGAGTTGGAAATGAGATTATAATGGAAAGGTTGGGTCAAATTCATCGAATTTGGATTACAAAGCTTCTAGAAAAGACGTTCGAATGATAGATTTACATGAATGTCCTATTAAGTAAGTTTACGAGCGGTGTTTAACCTCTTTATTTAAGATGGGTTTGAAGATCATAATACTTAGAGACATTTTAAAAATTTAGGACGAAGAGGGAATTAAAATTTGAAACTACTCGGTAATCACTGCACATTTCATTATGAATCTTTGTCTTATGGAATAGGTTTTTGAGGTATTTTATATGGCTCGTGAATTTATTTATTTTTTATATAATTTATTTAGTGATATTAATAACATTTAATACTCAATTTGTATATGTGTCACATTCACACCGAAGAAGACTGCTAAAACTTATCTATTGAATTAACTCCCAAGATTCACTAAAAACTCGAGACATCAAAGAGATGATTTGCTTGTAAGGTCTAATGATTATGTCTCAGTGAAAAAAGTCTAACCCTCGAGAGGTTGATCGAATGTTTTATTTGACTGAGGTAGTAAGGCTATTTTAAGTTGACCACTTAATTAGTCAGCCAACCAAGGATCGAGCTTGCTCCTTGAAGGGTCGACTAAAAGACCTTTGAGGCCGACCCCTTAAGGTCAGCCAAGACTAGGTGGGTCAATCCCTTAAGGAGTTGGCGATAATCAAACCTTTTAGAGATACGACGAAGAGAACGTTCATAAGTTCAGAATTAAATGAACTTTTAAGCTAGAAAAAATTCAATCATTAACACTCGATGCTTCTTTACGATCAAATGAAAGAGATCGAGCAATTATTATAAAAAAACTATACTATGATTATAAATTATTATATAAAGTACGACCAAGACATCAACAGATATGCTACAAATTTATTATCCTTTATTGACGAAAAGAAAAAAAAAGAAATTGGAAACTTCATCAAAGCAATCAAAACAATTCACACACCGAAAAATTATCGGAAAAAATTCAGGATTAGGTGAACGTCTGTGCCCATAATCCACAGTAACAGTTGAGATTCTCATCTTCTACCTAACTTTCCTGATATTTTCTGGTTTAAATTGCGTGGATTTTGATTCCAGACGAGACGGTGGCCTGAAGAGATCTCCTCAGAGTTGCCCTAATTTGCGGCTGCAACTCTGATTTCTCTTCTTCCGCCGTCGATTTTCGTTGTTTCAGGCCGATTACAGATTTCTGGAGATTAATCATGATTGCTGCAATCAAGGCGGCGATCGGCGATGCTGTTCTTACTTCCATGTGGATTTTCTGTGCTTCGTCTCTTGGAGTTCTTACCTCCGTGTTGTACTCGGCCGCCGGCGTTTATGGCCTTCCGCTTCATCCGCTTCTCATCACTACTACTCTGGTCTTCCTTCTCGTTTTCGTTTTCAATATAATTGGGGCTCTTTTGGGTGGTGCTAGCTTTAATCCAACTGCCACTGCCGCTTTCTATGCTGCCGGTGTTGGTCCGACCTCTCTCTTCGCCATGGCTCTCCGTTTCCCTGCTCAGGTTAGTATTTGTTCTGTCTTTCTATCTCTTTGATTCTGTAATTGAGTGTGAAGTTTTGTGTGGGTTGTCTCGATTAGTTCGATTTTTCACCTGTTCTCGATGGTCTACCCTAATTCTCAGTCCAACTAGTCTAACTAGAAGTCATCGAAATTAACACTCCCTTATACAAAATTCGGATAAACCAAGACATCAAATTTAGAACGAAAGATTTGAAACTTAGTTCAATTTAGTTACGTCCACAATCGAACTTACTTGATAAAGATTGATGAAATGGTTTCGATGCAATCTACCCCCAAATTAATAGATGTTCAAATCTCCAACTCTAACTGAGTGGTCATAATTGGGAAGTGAATTATTATGGGCAAGAAATTATGGAATTAAAATAATAACTTTAACAATTATCAATCAATTGATAACAACTCCCATCTACTTCTTCAACTGTCAATATGCACCCTCAAAGCTTCAAATGGTTTTTCCTCAATCAAATCAATGTGTAACACATAAAATAAATGTTGAATCCAGCCTATCCAATTTTGTAGATGGAGAATGAAGGTTGGTTGAATCTTCCTAGCCTTGGATCTGTAATAGGTCCACTTGGAACATTTGGAACACGATGATCCTTATTGGTGTATCTGTAGCTGTCATGCTTGATTGGTTTTCCATGATTGTAAGGGATGGACAATGGGTATTGATAGAGAAAATTCATTGAATTTTTTGGGTAATGATTGAAGAAGAAAGATCGCCTTTATCTCAAAAAAAAAAAAAAAGTTTACAGCTTATAATAGATGCTGAGTGATAGTTAATGTAACAGCCCAAGCCCAGATATTGTCTTCGGCTTTCTCTGTCGGGTTTCCCTTCAAGGTTTTTAAAACATGTACTAAGGAGAGATTTCCACACCCTTCTAAAGAATGATTCCTTTTCCTCCTCAACTGATGTGGGATCTCACAATCTACCCCCTTCGAGACTCAGCGTCCTCGCTAACACTCGTTCCCTTCTCCAATCGATGTGGGACTCCCAATCCACCCTTCTTCGAGGTCCAACGTCTTTGCTGGCACACCACCTCATGTCCACCCCCTTCGAGGCTTAACTTCCTTGTTGGCACTGTCTAGCTCTGACACCATTTGTAACGGACCAAGTTCACCGCTAGCAGATATTGTCCTCTATGGACCACTCAAGGTTTTTAAAACGCGTCTACTAGTGAGAGGTTTCCTTATAGAGAATTCTTTCTCCTCCTCTTAGATGTTGAGAAAGAAATAGAAAATAACTTCAGAAATTATGGATTCTAAGGAAAATTGATGAGCTTTCTCCATCTCTACTGACTCATATTCTCCTCTCTCTTTATGTTTTTTCAGAGATTGGGACATCGATTAGAATAAGACATCAATAAAATGAAACAATGTTGCCTAAAATTTCTGCATCTGTCATTTTCATTTGCCTTCTACTAGACTAAAAGGTTTCTAAAACATTAGTATTAGACATCAAATTTATTGTTGGCAGGCAGCTGGTGCGGTTGCTGGTGCCCTGGCGATCAAGGAGCTGATGCCTATTCAATACAAGCACATGCTTGGTGGGCCTTCCCTGAAAGTTGACATTCATACTGGAGCCACAGCTGAAGGAGTTTTGACCTTTATAATCAGTTTTGCTGTTCTTCTAATTGTTCTCAGGGGTCCCTCCAGCCCAGTAATCAAGACATGGTTGCTGGCAATGGCCACTGTAGCTTTAATCGTTGCTGGTTCTAGTTACACAGGACCTTCCATGAATCCTGCAAATGTGAGTACCACTTCTATTAAGCTTTATATTTATATATCCTCATTTGATGATTCTTATTGAGAACTGGCAGTAAGTTGAGATTATTAAGTTATGTTCTTGTTTAAACTTATATGGTTATATTATGTGGGTTAGAAATCACAGCCCTCGACAATGGTATGATATTGTCCACTTTGAGCATGAGCTCTCATGGCTTTGCTTTTGGTTTCCCCAAAAGGTCTCAAGATATATTCCTCACTTATAAACCCATGATCAACCCCTTAATTAGCCTATGTGTGACTCTCTCCCAACAATCCTCTCCTTGAATAAAGTACACCATAGATCCTCCCTTGAGGTTTATTTAGCCCTCAAACAGCCTCCATTGAATTGAGGCTCGACTCCTTTCTCCGAGTCCTTGAACAAAGTACACCCTTTGTTCGACACTTGAGTCACTTTTTGACTACACTTTTGAGGATTGTATTAACATGGCTAAGTTAAGGACATGACTCTGATACCATGTTAGAATCACAACCCTCCACGATGGTATGAATTGTTCACTTTGAGCATAAGCTCTCATGATTTTGTTTTTGGTTTTTCCGAAAAGCCTCATACCAATGGAAATGTATTCCTCACTTATAAACCCATGATCAATCCCTTAATTAACCAATATGGGACACTCTCCCAACAATCCTCAACAAACTGTGTGCTTTTTTTGAAGTAATTTGTAGACCATGGAAGTTCTTGCGTAGATTGCTGGTTGCTTTGCTGAGACTGAACCTCCTTTGAATCATGCTGACTACACAGCCTTTTTGTTTTATATGTAAATTGGCATTTTATATCCTTCATTAAAAATTTTCATTCAAAACAATCGTAACATATCTTAGTTCATTGTACAATAAATGAGGAGGATATTGAGCATAAATTGTAAATCAAACCATCTCTGTCTGACTTGATCCTTTCAGTTCTTCGAGGTTTGCTGCTATCTTAATGTAAGTTCTCCCTACCAGCTCGAGATCGTCACAATTTTTTTTTACGATACAGATTTTAGTCATCAAAAGTTCTCTTCCATGTTTTTCTGTCTTTCTATATCAGAATTACATTGCATAATTGCTAGTGGTGAGCTTGGACTGTTATAAATGGTATTAGAGCTAAACACTAGGTGGTGTGTTAGCGAGAAAGCTGGACCTCTCAAGGGGGTGGATTGTGAGATCCTACATCGGTTGAAAAGGGGAAAAAAAACATTTCTTATAAGGGTGTGAAAACCTCTCACTAGTAGGCGCGTTTTAAAACCGTGAGACTGACGACGATATGTAACGGGCTGAAGTAGACAATATCTACTAGCGGTGGGCTTGGGCTGTTACACTATATATCTCTGGTTATGTCATACAAAACCGAGGATAGCCGGAAATTCTGAAGGAGAGCCTTCGAACAACGGGGACTAAAGGGCCAAAAGGAAATAACATAGGATAGCATACTTAAACGTTATGCATTTTTTTGGCAATAAACTGTTCTGGGGTCAGCTGGGTGCCCTGCGAGTTTAGTCAATGATATCATCTTAGTTGCTGTCATTTAAAGTAAGCTTTGTCATAGACAGTGGAAAGGCTATATATGGTGAAATATTGCTTCATTTGATTCAAAACTTGCACTACATATTCATCCCGAGACGTTTTTGGCTGCTTTGGCGCGTTCCTTGCATATAGCGTTCGGTTTACGAACCAGATTAGTTATGATTTTGCTAATTCGAGACCATGAAGGTCGATATTCATTACTTCTTATAATGTAAAAAATGCTGATTTTTGCTTTGAAATGCAGGCGTTTGGGTGGGCGTATATGAACAACAAACACGATACATGGGAGCAGTTGTACGTGTACTGGATCGCCCCGTTCATCGGAGCCATTTCGGCTGCTTGGCTTTTCAGAATCATCTGCCCACCACCAGCCCCAGCCCCAGCCTCAGCTAAGAAGAAGAAGAAAGCTTGAAATCTCTAGTTGAAATGCTGCTGCGGCATTGATTTACATAAGCTTTGGTCATTCAAACGTAGCAAGTAAGAAACTCCATTTCTGTTCTTAAGATAAATGGCGTCTGTTTAAATTATGTTTTGCAGCTTCTGGATCAATAATAATCCTTCAATCAAGTTCCCTTTACTTCCCTTTTAGATCCTTTTTACATGTTTGCTGATATTTAAGGTAGGAGTATTATGATTCAAACTAGGGAATTGGTATTCTAACCCGACCACCCGAGCTCGGCTCAACTAGTTAAAGTTTTACCTTCGAGCACGGGTTCCAATCCCTTTGCTTCATTTAGGACTTGAAAAAGAAAATGAAAACTATCTTGTTTTTTATTATCAAATTGACTTCGAAATCAGTGGATTGTTAGAGCAAATTACTCATTAATTTTGGAATAATTTGAATATTTTATTATTCACAAATTTTGGAAATGTATATACATGTGCATTATTATTTGACATATTTTGCATCGTGGAAACTTATGAGTTTTGCGTGAATATGATTGATATTTAATACTTGATTAATATATGAGTTTGATGACTGGAATCAACGTTGAGGAGCTGGACTACTTGATTTTAATGATCCAAAGGGTGTTTAACAGAGGTTTCTCTGAAGGACTGATCGTTTAAGAGAGTCACAAAAGTGTATGGTTATGACCATCAAATGAAATGTGAATAACCCGTCCTCCTCTCTTTGAAACAAGGGACGCTTCTAGTTCTGTCGGTGCTTGAAACAATTTAGTCTTCTCCATATTACTATATCTCTAGAGTCAATAATTTTATATGAGGAACTACTGAACTCAATCACTTGCTGCCGTTATTCTTCAGTTTTCTGTTGAGGTCTATCCTGTGGAGTTACTCAAATTGGATCGAGTATCTTGCTTTGAGGAATCGTACAACGCCGTGTTGAATAGCCTAGAATCGAGACCTTAGGGTATTGGCACCAACTTTTGAAGGATTAGAGATTTTTTTTGAGATAAAATACAAAATTTAATTTAGTCTTTTCCATTGTTTTTTAAATTTAAGATACTATATTTAGATATAATGTTAACTAGAACTTTTCGTCTGTGCTGCCTATTTCATTCTCTTTATAAAATAAATTTCGGTCACTTATTTCATTCTCTATATAAAATAAATTTTTTTATTTATTTTTGTTGAAATCGGGCTTGTGAATGTTTGATTAATCCACCACACCCAAATGGTGGTAAGAGTTCTCTTATTTATAATTATTTACCGAATACAGAAATAAGGTAAATTACAAATAATAAGGAAATAGCGATGAAAGGAAAGAATAATAAATGAATACAATATATTTGTATTTAATTAAAGAGCAAATATGGTAACCCGTAATATAAGGCAAATATCTAGATATTTGCCTTATAATGAACGGTCAACTATCCTTAACAGGGTTCATAATTTTTCTCGGTTTATTATTTATTTAAAAAATAGTTAGTTAAAAATTTTATTTTCTAATGTAATCTTTCCTAAAAAAAATTGTAAAAAATATTACAAGTAATTATATTAGATATATAATCTTTCACCTCTAATTTCTAAAAATTAAAATTTTAATATTACAATTATTTTTAATTTAAATATTATAATCAAAATTAACTCATATATATAATAAAAAAATGATAAAAAAAACCCTAATTAATTAATTTTAATTAATAGAAGTTAAAATTTTAACCTTAGAGTTTAAATATCATAATTAACTCTAATTAAAAAATAAAAAATATAAAGAATATAATAAAAAAAATGATAAGAACCCTAATTAATTAATTTTAATTAATCAAAGATATTAATAACTTGAAATAATATTTTTGGAATATTTTTATTAATTTAGTCTCTTTCATTGTTTCTTAAATTTAAGATATTAAGAAACCTTTTATGTACCTATTTTTGCCCCCTATTTCATTTTCCATATAAATTAAATTAATTAATTATTTATTTTTGTTGGCGATTTCATCATTTTTGTCGGTTTATTATTATTTAAAAAATAGTTATTTTAAATATATATATTTTTTAATATAATCCTTTTAAAAAAAATTAATAAATCTTTTGTTCTACCGTAGTTTCAAAAAATTCAAATTTTAATATCACAAAATTAACTATAATTAAAAAAAAATAAAAATATATATAGAATATAATAATAAAAAAAAATGATAAAGAACCCTAATTAATTAATTTTAATTAATCAAAGGTAAGAAAGTGGGAATTTTTAAGTTCTTCTGCCACTCGAATTCGCAACTGCTATATTTCTGAATCCAAACTCGACATTGTTACTTCACATTTGCTCCTCCCCTATCCCCTAACCACCTCCATTTCCATTTCTTCGATCACCTCAAAGTTCCTCCATCCAAATCCCACGTCAATTCGTCGATTTCACTGACGGAATCCACCCTGATCCGTCCTCGATGCTGTTGCGAGTCAATCATTCATCAATTCATTGCGTATAATCATCGCCGTTCTTCCCAGACGGAGCGCTGGATCCGACTCCCGAATCACTGCACTCATTGAAGGCTCCTGCTGCCTCCAATTCCACTGGAAACGTTCAGATCCGTTACCGATCTCCATCTTCCGCCGACCTTCTTGAAGGCCAAACGCCCTCTTTGTCACTTCAGGATCATCAGAAGCTACTTCAGTTTCAATTTGACAAGATGCATAAGCGTCCCGGTAAGCAACAGTCGGAATCGCTGTCGAATAAGATCTACGAATACAGAGGGGTGTTATTGTTCACGTCTCTTTCGCTTTTCCTAATCGCCTTTGTTCTCTATTTCATGCCGGGCCGTGAAAATTACTCGTTCAACCACCGCAAGGTTTACCCTGATCACAGGTCGTCTTCTTCTTCTTCTAAATCCACTTATGCTGTTATTTTTGATGCTGGTAGCTCTGGGAGTCGCGTCCATGTCTTTTGCTTCGATCAAAATCTCGATCTCCTCCCCGTTGGCAAGGATATCGAACTTTTTGAACAAGTACTAATCTCTATCTTCTCCTGTATCTACATTTTCACTGATATTCTTCGAATTTCCATTCTAGATCGGCTGTGCTTATATTTTTTGGTGCTTGTACTTGCAGCAATTGTTGGTTTTGAGTTGACTGTATTCTGTTTCTCTCGAGACTAGCTGTGCTTAAATTTGTTCTTGTTTGCTTACTTCTTCTTTAGCTTAATCCAGGATTGAGTGCATATGCTGACAACCCCAAGAATGCTGCAGCTTCTCTAATTTCCCTTTTGGAAAAAGCGGAAAATGTGGTTCCTAAAGGACTGCGGTCAATGGCCCCTGTTAGAGTTGGGGTTAGTTGATATTCCTCGAACTCCTTGAGCTCTGTTCTTTAAATGAAGCTATGCCAATTTTCGAAATCGGTTTTTCATGTTAATGTAGGCAACTGCAGGCTTGAGGGCTCTGAAGGGGGATACATCTGACAAAATTTTGCAGGCGGTAATGGTCCATGCTTGTTCTTCTGAAGCAATTTATCACGTTCCCTTATTTCGTGTTATTTCGTGCTAAGAGATGAAAGCTTTTGTTTTCTTTAAGGTTAGGGATCTCCTGAGAGACAAAAGTGACCTCAGGTTGGAGGACAGTGCTGTGTCTGTAATTGATGGAACTCAAGAAGGTTCTTACCTTTGGGTATGTCTATTATGGCTGTGATCCACTTTGTACTTTTTCTTATGTAGTTTGGGTTTCAGCTGCAGCTTGCTTTTAGTTCCAATCGTGGAATGTGTATTATTTGTGGTACAATAGTGTGATAATGTGAGGTTCTTGCTAATATCTCTCTTTCCCCCTCAAAGTGAAGAATATGATGCCATTAGGATTCAGGATAAAGTGTCATGTTGCTTCCTCTAGAGCCATTTCTTTGAGACAGTCTCCTTCTAGTTACATTTTGGTATTAAGTTCAGTTATCTGTTGAATAACCTACAAATCTCCAAAGCTTAGGATGTGCTGGTCTCTCTCTATCCCCAAAGCCTTACTGTTTCTGAACTCGAGGCTATGTATGCAATGAGCTTGCATTTAGCGTAGGTGCTGGAACAGCATAGGATGATAGAACATGCCAGCATTATAAGTTTTGTCAGTTGGAATGCAATGTGGAAACGATAGTCGTGACATGAAGAGGTTGTCATTAAACTACGTACGATGTTAAATTTCATATCGGTATTTAGCAGAATTTGAGACAGTAATTAGTTTAGATGTAGATTGGTAAATGCATGTAGAGTTTTGATAATCTGAACCATTCCTGGGATCTTGCATGGAGTTCTCGTGTATTAACATATTACGAGCTTGGCTATCATTTTCCAGGTGACATTAAACTATCTGCTTGGGAACTTGGGCAAGAAATATTCGGATACAGTTGGAGTTGTAGATCTTGGGGGAGGATCTGTTCAAATGGCATATGCTATCTCCGAAACGGATGCTGCTCGATTATCAGAAGCAGAGAGCGTATACATAAAAAAAATGTATCTGAAGGGAGCAACTTATTATCTCTATGTTCACAGGTATACATTCTACTCTTGTCTCGTTGAGATTGCCGGTTGATAAATTTTACACATGGCAATACGACTCTCCTATTTCAATCAGCCTCTACTAATTCATTGATAGCTGTGGTTGAATCTTGATGAATTCTACCAAAACTCTCGTGAATTGTAACGGCCCAAGCCCACCGCTAGTAGATATTGTCTTCTTTGGGTTTTCCCTTTTGGGATTCCCCTCAAGGTTTTTAAAACGCATCTGCTAGGGAAAGGTTTTAATATGAACCACGACCAAGGAATTTCCATACGTCAAGGTCCAATTACAAGGACGAGAGCTAAGAAGCTACAACAAACCTTGTACACTTATATTCAAGCTATGGTGGGCTCATCAAAAGAAATTCTAAAAGACGTTGGAGACCTCCCTTATATGTTGTGCAAAGTTGAGCTTCAAGAAAAAGATGCATTAAATGCACTTTAAGTGGCATGAAATGAACTCAACTAAATTTATGGAACTAGTCAAGGATGACTAATAAGCATATTTTATTAATTGCACTATTTAATTATAATTTAAATATTTATTTGTCATATTTAAGCTAGTTTTTAATATAGGAGTTAAGGTTATATTGTAATCCACATAGGTTAGCATATTCCACCGTTAACTAGCTATTTTAATATTTTAATATGGAGGTTATGGGTATGTCTCATTTACTAGCCGATTTAATTTAATTTGGGAGTTATGTGACACATAGATTAAGGTTTTAAAGACTATATAAAGTCTTCTTTTCTTTGGTTAGAGACATCACATTTTGGAATAACTATTCTTTTTAATTCCAAAATGTGATGTCTCTAATCAAAGAAAAGAAGCTTTATATAGCCTTTACAACCTTAACATAACTATATAGCTTTTACAACCTTAACATAACTCCCAAATTAAATTAAATGGGCTAGTAAATGAGAAATTAAATTAAATGGGCTAGTAAATGAGAAATACCCACCACCTCTGTATTAAAATGGTAGTTCATGGTGGAATATGGTAACCTATGTGGGTTACAATATAACCTTAACATCTATATTAAAAACTAGTTTAAATATGACAAACAAATATTTAAATTATAATTAAATAGTGCAATGAATGAAATGTGCTTATTAGTTATCTTTGGACTAGTTCCATAAATTTAGCTGAGTTCATTAAATGCAACTTAAAGTGCATTTAATGCATCTTTTTCATGAAGCTCAACTTTGCACAACATATAAGGGAGGTCTCCAACATCTTCTAGAATTTCCTTTGATGAGCTCACCATAGCTTGAATATAAGTGTACAAGGTTTGTTGTAGCTTCTTGGCTCTCGTCCTTGTAATTGGACCTTGAGGTATGAAAATTCCTTGGTCGTGGTTCATATTAAGGTTTCCACACGCTTATAAAGAATGCTTCATTCTCCTCCTCAACCGATGTAGAATCTCATACTCCACCTTCCTTTGGGACCCAGCGTCCTTGCTGACACTTGTTCCCTTCTTCAATTGATATGGGACCTCAATCCACCCCTGTTTGGGGCCCAACGTCCTTGTTGGCACACTGCCTCGTGTCCACCCCTCTTTAGGGCTCAACCTCGTTGCTGGCATCATCCGGTGTCTGGTTCTGATACCATTTGTAACTGTCCAAGCCCACCGCTAGCAGATATTGTTCTCTTTGGGCTTTCGCTCAAGGTTTTTAAAATGCGATTGCGAGGGAGAGGTTTCCACATCCTTATAAAATCTCATACTCCACCTCAACCGATGTAGAATCTCATACTCCACCTTCCTTTGGGACCCAGCGTCCTTGCTGACACTTGTTCCCTTCTCCAATTGATATGGGACCTCAATCCACCCCTGTTTGGGGCCCAACGTCCTTGTTGGCACACTGCCTCGTGTCCACCCCTCTTTAGGGCTCAACCTCGTTGCTGGCATCATCCGGTGTCTGGTTCTGATACCATTTGTAACTGTCCAAGCCCACCGCTAGCAGATATTGTTCTCTTTGGGCTTTCGCTCAAGGTTTTTAAAATGCGATTGCGAGGGAGAGGTTTCCACATCCTTATAAAATCTCATACTCCACCTCAACCGATGTAGAATCTCATACTCCACCTTCCTTTGGGACCCAGCGTCCTTGCTGACACTTGTTCCCTTCTCCAATTGATATGGGACCTCAATCCACCCCTGTTTGGGGCCCAACGTCCTTGTTGGCACACTGCCTCGTGTCCACCCCTCTTTAGGGCTCAACCTCGTTGCTGGCATCATCCGGTGTCTGGTTCTGATACCATTTGTAACTGTCCAAGCCCACCGCTAGCAGATATTGTTCTCTTTGGGCTTTCGCTCAAGGTTTTTAAAATGCGATTGCGAGGGAGAGGTTTCCACATCCTTATAAAGAATGTTTCGTTCTCCTCCCCAACCGATGTGAGATCTCACATGAATGTTTTGTTTTTCTTGTCCTAGGATTTTAAATTCTTTTGTACCAACTTTCCTTTGTATTTTGTCTTGGGTTTACAGTAGCTACTGGCACTTAGACTCTTACGTGATTGTTTTTTAGACCGACTTTATATGGTTGTTGGTTATTTGAATTACAGTTATTTGCATTATGGATTACTAGCTGCTCGAGCGGAGGTTTTGAGTGTTTCTAAAAATTCTAGCAATGATTGCATCCTATCTGGATACAAAGGTTTGTTTTCTCTTTCTTTCCAATAATAAATGTTTTTGCAATCATCATTTCCCTCTCTTCATCGCTTATGTTGATGCAAGTCGCAACTTAGTGTCTTATTGAGTATAAACTTCTTGTAACTAACCAATTTTGATGGAAATACAAAATCTTTATGTGCAATACAAATATAACTAGCTGGTTATATGGGTTCCCACACCACTAGATATTTTGCACAAAATTCTTGGCTTTTTCTCTCTTATTCCTCCGCACTTTTAACTATTTAGGATCGATCCTTATTTTAAATTTACTAACCTATGCATAACTCAACTTGTTAAAACATAGATCCTTGGTAAAAAAAAGTTAGAGGATCTTTCCTTTCTCCCACGTGTACTCTAGAAAGAAATAATACTATGACTTTTAGGCTCTGGTACCAAATGATATGAAACTCTTGAGATTTGATCTAAAAACCTTGTTAAAGAACGAGATCTTTTGATCTAAATTATCCAAGAACCCCAAAATCGATAAGGAATCAACCTAAAGGAAAGTTTTGGAATGGATTGTCTTAATGATCAAGATCAAGAGTAAAGAAAACTCGTGATTCGAATTACTCCACAGGATAGTTTGATCAAGACTCCTTGAATGACTGGTTAATTGAAAGGTTGTAACTTTCATGGCCATCAATACCATAATGACCCCTATCTAAATTTAACTTATAATCTTAAAGATAATTCACTTAAAGATAATTCTCTAAAAGTTAAAAAATACAATAAAACACCCTGAAATCTTTATTGACATGATTAAAACACCTTATTTCATATCACCTTCTCCATAAACATTCTCTCTTAAAGAAATTCCCTTGTTCCAATGTGGTTTTATAGGTTATTATCTTCGTTCGAATAATTCCTATCTTCTTTACTATCTTTTTGGAAATCAAATGGAGCTTTGGATTGAAGTATTCTCAATGCTCTCTCTTTTTTTTTTTTTTTTTTTTTTTTAGGAAA